CCGCGGGCGCCGCGTCCGTCTTCGCGCGCTTCTTCGCCGGCGCGGCGGCGGGCTTGGCGACGCGCTTCTTCGCCTCGCGGAGCGCGGCGACCTTGGCGCGCGCGGCGCGCTTCCGCTCGACGCGCGCGGCCTCCTCGGCGCGCGCCGCGGCCTCGGCGCGCTCGCGCTCGGCCCGCTGCGCCGCGACCTCCTCCTGGCGCGCCGCGCTCGCCGCCTCGCGGCTCACCTCGCGCTTGCTCGCGATGTGCTGCGCGTCGACGCGCTTCTCGGAGCCGCCCATGACGTACTTGACGCCGTACGTGAAGCCCGTCGTCCGACGCGCGCTGCCGTCCTTCATGGGGCCGAGGTCCGCGGACCGCTCGTCGTGGACCTTGGTGATCTTCGCCGTCCCGCCCTCGAAGTTGAACCCGGGGAACTTGCGCCGCGACACCTCGACGAGCTCCTTGACCGCGAAGAGCGGCGCCTCCTCCGGCGCGCCGGCGTCGACCGCCGGCGCGGGCGCCGGCTCCGGCGCCGCGGGCGACGCGGGCGGCGCCTTCTGCGCCGCGGGCGCCGCCGCGGGCGACGCGTTCGTCGCGTTGGCCAGGGCCGGCGCCTTCGGCTCCATCGTTTGAACGTCCATGGTCGGACTCGGATCAACCGACTTAATTACATTCAGCTACATATAGTACGGTACCATCCGGGGGTATTTTTTAACGGCCGTGACGCCCCCATCTAGCGGCCGTGCCCTTTTGCATACCCCGAGACGAGTCAGAGATGCGTCTTTCCTGAAAAAAGCGCGTCCAACGGACATGATGGCGTCGAGATCCGAGCCCTGCAGGACTCCTGATAGTCCTACGTAGGATATATAGAACGGTACTTTCGAGGATGTAGCGCCCGGCGATGATCCGATGGCCCCAAAACCTGCTGATTTTGTGCACACGCCGAGGCGGGGACAAGGTGCGCCCCCCGCCAAAAGAAGCACGTCCAACGGCACCGATCGCGTCGAGCATCAGCGCCACCCAGTGGCTCTAGAGCCTCTCGCTACCTATCCTAGTT